CACGTGTGCGACCCGGCGGGTCCGCCGCCGCGCGGGCACCTGTCGTGTGAGTAGCCCGGGCGTGGCTGCGCCCGCACGCGCGGCTCCGGGCGATTTCCCTCCAGGGCCTAGCACCTCCCTCAGCTCGGGGCGAAGGAGAAGTTTAACGGGGCCGGGACTGAGCAGATCCGGGGAGTACCAGAGCGGCGGCTGGGCCGAGAGGGTGGGAACCGCCACCTCTTCGACCGTTTCCGAAAGACCGGCGTGACAGAGGTGGCCCTGAAAAGTCTAGAGAGCCCGGGCCGTGAGGTCACCGAGTGAGTGACGCGGGGCACAGCCCGGCCCGTTCGTGCACCAGAGGGATGCTAGCGCTTAGGAAGGCAAGGAGGAAGCTCAGGATGGGGACCATTTGCTCCCCCAACCCCAGCGGGACAAAGACGGCGTCGGAAGTCTGCAATGCCGACTGGATGGCCTCGCTGCCCCCTCACCTGCACCGCGTCCCCCTTTCCAATCTGGCGATCCCAGGTATTTTTCTGTGTCTTCTTGCTCGCCCTGCGTTGTAATCCTGCCATCTTAGTGCTGTTAGTGGGTCAGGTTGCTTTTCTATTGTGCTGAGAAAACAGTTGTCAGGGACCCTTCTTAATTCCAAACCAAAAACTTAACACCAGTGCAGCTGGTTTAAAGAGATAGAAGTACACCGCATCCTCAGCACAAGGGACGCGTCAGTCCAGCATTATTGTTGGCTGCTTTCGCTTTGTTTAGACTTCGTAGCCTTGTGAAACTGTTAACCCCGTTCGTGTTGGAGCTAGCATATGTGAAGGGTGCATTTGCTTGAATCATTTAAAGATCAAAAGGACAGCTCAAGGGTAATGAATAAAAAGTCCTTAACAATTTTAGATCTGGATCAAAATTAAGGTTGAAAAATTCTTCCTTTCTCATTTAGCTGACCTTGTCTAAGAAAGGAACAAAAAATAGAAAAGCGTTAGAGTAGGTTCGGAACCGGCACTGAGCATAAAGGCACCTATTTTTTTTGTTGGAAATGCCAGAAATAGACAGTGCAAGCTCACACCACAGGCAGTCATTAGCTGTGATGAGGTGCTGGTGTTTGGAGCTTTGTCTGTATATACACAGGTGTCTACCTGAGTGATCTAGAACTGCGGGCTTGAAGAATGCTGCTCAGCCATTGTCTATCTGTTGGAGGTTTTCCACCTTGACATTACTCTCATTGGATTTGTTAAATGGGAACTTGGCCTTTCCCTGGAAAGGTTGTTACACCATGGTGTGTAGGGAAGGATGTTTAGACTACACTACGCTTGGCCTGGTGTGCTGAGCAAAGTCCTACGTGCTGGTACTTGGAAAGCACTCAAGGAGCAAAGGATGGACTTCTGCCAATCTTTTCTCTCGCTTGGATGCATAACAATTGAAGTTCACCCCTAGACTGCTAGACAAACTCTCAGGCATTCCCTGGCCCAGGCTGCCTTTTTGGTGGCTGAAAAGATAACCTCATACGACCCCCCAAGCTTTTCTTTCTGTGCATGAGGAATAGCTGTGCTGTCTTCAAATGCAGGATTCAAATACTCACCTTTTCTTTTGGAGGTCTTCCAGGTTCATTGTCCTCCTCAGCCCCTGTTGCTTTTTGAGCAAGAACAGGGCTGCTAAATTTCTTTATGATCATTTCTGTTTTACTACAGATTGACTCTAGCTCCAGGGGAAATGTCACCTGGTTATGCTTTGTTCAGAGTATGTCTTTTCCATGGTTAATTGACGCCTGTGGAGTCATCACTGAAATGATGCATGGGCCAGTTTTAACATTAGTCATTTGCCTTCAGGCTTTCAATGGAGTTCTTTTGTTGAGTGATGTACAGGTAGTATGTGTTTGCAAGCAGAATGGCATCTTAGGCAGGCAATAAATGGCCCTGTCATCAGAGTATGTCTGGGGTAGGCAGTAGCTTCCTCCATCATTGTACTTTGGACATCTCATAGCTTAGCAGCAGCTCAGCTGTTGGCTTGGCTATCCATTCTGACTCCATGACTCTAGAAAGAAGCTGGGCATTTGTTCTGTGATCTAGACAGTTCTAGAATGCCAGCGAAAGCAAACTGCAGTGACCTTCGCTGCAACTGGAAATTCTGTGGTTGGCTGCTGTTGAGACTCAGGATTCCCCTTTTTTGTGAAATCCAGTCTCCTAAGCAAAAAGGGAAAAAAATGATCATGACTTCTCAAAAGATGCTGAACTCACTACTGTGAAAGAGCCTTTTCCCAGGAGTGAAAGGAACGTAAGTGTATGTAGCACGTAAGCTAAAGACAGGAAAATCACATATTAAGAGCTGACAGTTCATGGACTCTCCCATACTAGTTCTCTTTTCTCTACCTTATACTCCCCGGATAAAGGCTGGCAGTCAAGTTCTGATACGACTTGCTGAGAAATTTGAAATAAGAAAGGCATCCCGGAATGCCTTCTTCTCTTCCTTTTCCCCCTACTGTCACCTTCATCATAATAGTTGTTGTTTACTGAGCCCTACCATGTAGCACCATTGGCATTACCCCATGTCCTCACATCTCCATGAAGTATAGATTAGTATCATCATTTTAGAAATAAGGAAGTTGTTGTCCAGAAAGTTTACATAGTTTTCTAAGATCGCATAAATATTAAGTGGCAGAGCTAATGTCTAAGTCCATAGGTAGCTGCACAGCCCCTGCACTGCCCCTGTGCCCTTGAGGGGGCCTTGGGAAGTGCAGAGCAGAGGAAGCAATTTCAGCCTGAAAACCAGATTACACAGCCCATACTCTGCAGGGAATGAAAGAATTTTTAGAATGAAATGGTTTTATCTGAGTAATTATTTGTCACTGTGAAGATTAGATTAAGCTAGATGTATTTGTACTAGACATCTGAGACAGATCCACTGGTTTATATATTCTTGTTTAGAATTGGCACCCAGTAAGTTTTAAATTCTAATCTAGTCCTAGACCTATTGTGTGTGCGTGTGCACACTCCCATCCCGATCTGGGGCGTCTGTAAGACTGGGTCATATTTGTCAGGAGCAGGGGAAGGCAGCAGTGACACAGGAAAGGTCCGGAAAGAGACAGGGGCTCGGTGATAACAGCAGAACTGGGAGGGAGGAAACTATGTCCGATTGGAGCACACCTGCTGCATTTGCCTAAACTGTGATGGGACAGAATACGTGTGAATGTGCTCCTCTCAACAGAGCTTGATGTATTGGTTTACTTCCGCAAGTGTTAAGAACACCTGTTTATCACCAGCATCACCCAAACATATTGAAATATCTTAAAGAAGACCCTCAGAATAACTCTTACTGCAAACTGTATTCAATCATTTGATGTCTGAGGGGTAAAAGATTTGAGAACTTAAAAAGTCAAAATTTTTAATTAAAGCTTTAAACTCTACATACATTTTCATTGATGTTATTGAAAGCATATTTTCTGCATAATGCGTGATGCTTTTCAGTGGATTCTTTTTTGCTGTATATTTTAGTGTTGTTTCTTTTTGTTTCATTTTTAGTCATGCACTTTCTCTTTTATCAAAGGTAAACCATTTGGCCTGTTGGGAGGAACCTTGAACTTAACGGTCTTAAAATCTATGCTTAGCTCTTTGTGATACTGAAGAAGTATCTGAAGATATTAGATTTATTTTCTTCATTTGTAATTAAGATTTTGGATTAACAATCATTTGCTAATTTAAGGGTTTCATTTCCTATTCTTTGTACAAATGTAAAAGGAAATGGAAAGGGTGATTGGATCCTGTTAGGTCTAAGAGTCATTATTTTTATGTCTCTTCAAAACAAGGAATTATTTGTGATCTGTATAGACAAGGACTCACAGTTGCTCTAAATGAAGCAGGATCCATTGTAGCATCGTACAAGGGGCTGTAGGCTAGTTAGTGTAAGTGGATTTTCACCTTTTTGGATCCTAAGTGCATCTTGAGAAACTTCCAAGTTCAAGTCTATGAGAGATGACAAGATAAATCAGGTGTCAGTCCTACTGTTAAAGAAGCTTACGGGGTGCGTGTGTGTGTGTGTGTGTGTGTGTGTGTGTGTGTGTGTGTGTGTGTCCATGTATGTCCCCACCATACATAGTTTTTTTTAACAGCAAATTAGGGTAAATGTTAAAACAGAGATAAAAATAATGTGTTATAGAAGCACACAGAATGGAAACTTTCATTTCAGCCTTTAGGATGAGAAACTTCTTTATTAAGAAAATGGCATTTGACCTAGATTTAAAGAATGCTCAAGATTTCAAGAGCTGTGGCTTGGGCTTCGAGGGTGGGAAGGGGCTTTCGAGATGAAATGAACCAGCTGAACTAAATTATGAGCGTATGAGTAGGAAATGGCCGGCGGACACCCTCTCCTGTCCTCCACGTCACCTTTGTCAGTGGACTGCTCATCACATTGTTTTTAAATGCCTTCCTTCCCCATGGTTTGCAAGTGGCTCGCAAGTAGAGGATATTATTTACATCTCATAGTCCTGAGTCCGAGTAAGAGGTAGCAGTTCAGTTATCGGTGACTGTTGAAATAATTTAAGGCATCAAACTGCAGAGAAGCATGCTGGAGTGGTATGTTGCAATCACTATCATTTTTCACTGAGATTAGAGCTCAACTGAATAGATTGGTTAGAGTCACCTTTCATAAATAGCCAGTGGGAGCTCCCCACCCCTGTTGTTTGCACCTTCCCCGGATAAGACCGTCACAGACGCCCTCGGAAGTGAAACCCCTGGGCAGATGCTGTGGTCAGCGGAGCCAGGGGTAGGTCTATGGTGTCACTTGCTTTCCAGGAACAGCTCTTTCATCTGCGCCATTTCTGCGTCTCTTCTTCCCTGGGAAACTTGGAGCTTGTCGTCTTTCTTGCTGGCCACTCCCTGTCCCTGTCCCCATTTCTTGTTCCGCTCTTCACCTTTCTTCCACTCACTCGGCCTATATCTGCCTTCCCTTTCTAGGGTCAGCCCTTCCTCCGGTGCCTCTGGCTGCTCTCTGATTCCCAGATGGCTCTGTCTTCTCAGGTTGCGTATCCATCCCCTTCTCTTCTTACTACCTTTCTGGGAGCCTGTCTTTTTCCTTCGCAGCTGTGCTCGTGACCATTTGGTGATTTCTGCAGCGATTCTCCCTGTGACCTCGTGCTTGTCTCATATGAGTGACATGGAGATAAAACCACTGAAAGGGCAGGATGGAGGGACTGTGACTCAAATCCTGCTAAAGGAGTGTTGGGGACTACCCCTAAATAAATTATGCTGCAAACGTTTGGTTGGATCTACTTTGAGGATAACAGAAGCTATGACTTGGCCGGAGAACAAGTCCTGTGTTTTCTAGGACTTGGGGCTGTGAAGAACCAATGACAAAGCTGAGTTTACCAGGGCTGACTCAAGGAAAAACATCATAGGAGATCAAAATAGTTTCTTAAGTGGAATAGTTTATTTTTGTTTCGTTTCTCATTTTTTCTCTGGGTGGTCATGGAATAAAAAGAATAAAAAGAAGCTGTGACTTTGGTGTTCCCATAGTAGATCTCTAAGGCAACA